AGCAGCAATAACATATTAAAAGCGTAAAATGTGTTTGTATGTATTACATAAATAAAGATACATACAAAAAAGTTATAAGTAATTTTGAAATTATCATTTTTTCAGAATCTGATACACATGCTTACGTACTGTGTAAGTATGTGTAAAAACCGCAAATTATTTGGTAAAAAAGCTAGTAATTTTCATTTGAACAGATTGTTTTTTTTGTATAATTATTTTGAACAGCCAGTTGAATTTTATTTAATTTGCTAAGTGTGGCTGTACTGTCTTCTTCTTGCTGAAAATAACGTTGCAACTTTCACGCAGTCTAATGCCTCCTTAGTTGCCACTGGAAGCTCTTCTTCATCGTTGTTTTCTAGTTCGTCTTCCTGTTCGTTATCAACGGATCCTTCATTAACCAAATTGGAGTCTGACAATTCCTTTGTTGCTATTAAATTATTGTCAACATACTCATTAAATTGGTCTACCTCCTTTCCTGCACGATCAACCCAATCCACAGCTTCGCTGATGACAGCACTCTACATGCAGGAATTCAGAGTGACAAGCCGATCTCTGCCGCTGAGCTGGAAAAAAGAAGACTAGCGACGACTTCTTCTCTGACAAGAGACCTGGAGGCTATCACTGCTTGGGGACGCAACAATCTTGTACAGTTCAATGCTTCCAAAACACAGTACTGTACTTTGACGAACAAAAAGCGTCCTAGCGCTCATACAGTTTCGATGGACGGTCGAGTTCTACCAAAGAGCCATTCATTTCGGCTGGTCGGAGTCCAGATCACCGAGGACCTGATCTGGCACGAACACATCTCTTCAATAGCTGCAGCTGCTGGGAAAAAGCTAGGCTATTTGTTTAGGGCTAAGAAGTACTTTTCTCCGCATGACCTTCTCACTCTATACAAGGCCCAGATAAGGCCTAGCCTCGAGTATTGCTCACACATTTGCGGTGCTGCCGCCCCGACTACATTGTCCATGCTCGATGCTGTCCAGAGGAGGGTCCGACTGATCGATGACTCTTCTCTAACAGACAGTCTCGGGACTCTTTCGCACCGGCGGGCCGTCGGCGATCTAGCTCTTTTCTATCGCTACACTAACGGGCTTTGCTCCTCAGAGCTCTCTTCTATGATGCCGCCGCGCGATGTGCCTGCCAGACAGGCCCGCCTGACTTCGGCGTCCCATCCTAACCGTGTCAAACTTCGTACATCCAGAACTGGCCGATACGACCGCTCCTTTCTCCCGAGGGTGTCTAGATTGTGGAACAATCTACGGGAGGAAGCTTTTCCCAGTTCTACTAACCTTAGGCAGTTCAAAAATCGTATTAACAAAATTTCTTTGGGATCATCATAGCAGCCGCGGTGTTCCGGCATTTAGGCTTCTGCCTGCGCGGCTGTTTCGATATAAAAAAAAATACTTTTAACTCAGTTTTAAGCCTGTTTTTGTCTAAAAATGAAAATTGTGTGCATGTGTCATTTAAATGTGCTTCAGGAAACTGATGTTTATAAACAGAAAACTTTTCAGACATAAATAAATTAGAAGCAACTAAATGCCCAGAAAAGTTAAATCTTGTTCTTATTTGCGATAATACTGCATCGCATATTTCTAACCCTTCCCGTTTTTTGCTGCCTTCTTCAACTTGCCTTTTTTTTCTTGCCGGTTCATCAGTTTCTCTCTGCACTCGTTCAATCTCGTCAATAATGCTATCCATTTGTTCTCGTATAGTTTGAATTGCTGCTTCAAAATTCTCTAAATCATTTTTGACCTTAACAGAATGGGTGCATACTTTTTGTAATTGGTTAAAGACAATTTCAACATGTGGCATTATTTTATGGAAAATACTTAGCCAAAATACAAAATTTGTATCTTGCAGCTTTAATTTGTACCCACTAGCTTGATTAATCGACAAAGAATCGCGTGAAGTACTTTCTGTATTGACCATAACTTCAATCAGGTCTTTCCTATTTTCATAAACTGTATGAACACCTCGTGACTGAAAATTCCAACGTGTTTGGGAAGATCTTGGCAATCTGCGATTAACTATTTCATCCAAAATTTTTGTTCTTTGAGGAGACGTCGAAAAAAAAGAGCACAATCCAGATAAATTATGGAAAAATATTCTAGCCTGCTTATTGACAGAGCATGCGCTTGTCATAATTAGATTTAACTGGTGTGCATAGCAATGAACATAATTTGCAAGTGGATAAGTTTCCTTAATAATTTTTTGAACGCCATTCAATTCACCACTCATAACAGACGCACCATCATAGCTTTGAGCTATTAATTTGTTTGGATTTTGATCTAGTAATGGATTTACAACATTTAAAACGCATGCAGCGATTGATTTGGCATCGTGTCTCCAAAATCTCTCAACTGGTTGTCCTTTACACAAATATCTGAAAATAATAACTAACTGAAATTCACAGGCTACGTCCGTCGTTTCATCGGCAATTACTGCTACAAAAGGAGAATTTGCAATCTCCTTCTTAACTTCTTCATGATAAACATCTAGCATGCACTCAAGAAGCTCGTTTTGAGTTGTTTTTGAGGTACCCTTAAAAAGTTTGGCACTTTGAATATGGACTTTCAATTCGTTGTCTAATTCGGCGCTAAAATTCACCAGCTCCTTAAATATGCCTCTGTTTTCTGAATTTTCCTTTTCATCATGACCCCTTAAGGCTAACTCAAATGCTCCACAAAACCATACAATTAATAATTTTATTCAATACATATCGATTCTTATCCACTTGATTATTATGTTTAATTAGATCATTGCGATAAGCCGAATTGAGTTGAGTCCTTATATTTAATTTACCAAGAATAGAAAAGCTAAAAACATTATTCATATGGACTTTAGATTTTTCGTGGGTCTTCATTTTATCCCATATATGTATAAGATCGTCTGTACCTTTTTTTGACCAAGTCTCGTCACCTCCAAATAGAACACATACAAAACAAAATAGTTTATTCGTTTCTTCACAACCACATATCCAGCTGTTTTTATCGTACACATTTTTATTAAATTTGCGACAGCGCGATTTTTGTCCGCTACTACTTTGTTTCTCAATTTTTAAATCGGGTATTGGCCGTCCTAATTCTTTAATTTGCAGTTTTTGATCCAGCGAAAAACCACTAAATTTCTAATATCCCGATTTTATTCATTTTCACTAGTTTTAATAAAACAGTAAAAAATATGATCACAAAACAGAGCAGTTCATGAACACTAGACGTACTAAAACAAAAACGTTATTTCTCACTTTTCAGGTAAAAAAAGACCGAAATCAGCACTAGACGTAATCATAACGAAACGACCGACCGAACAAAAACACCGCCGATATCATTTGATAACGAATTACGACTGATGATGTGCCTGGCACAAATTATACTTGTCTTTCGCTATTCACCTCATATAAAAATTTCTAGCGTAGCGTTATCTCTGTCGCTCGTATGCGATGCTGGTAAAATTTCTCTCTTTTTATTTGGGCCGGCCCAAAATTGGCACAAGTTGATGACGTCAAGGTCAAGGCATGCTTTCCGTCTCGTCGCGTCGGGCGGGTGCTTGCGGTGTTGTCACGTTGTCAGTGTTGTCACTTCATATAATTCATACAAAAAAAAAAAATGAAAAAGCAGAAAATAAAGTAAAACATTGAAGATTGAAAAAAATATTCTTTTTCAAGAAGACAAGGTCGGGGGCCTCGGTTGGCCGCGTGGGTCAGAGTGTCGTGCTACTGATCAGCCGGCCGGCCGGGCCGCGAGTTCGAATCTCGCCTTCGCCATGGATGTTGTGTGTTTGTTTTAGGCAGCAGCGGTGGCCGCAGTAGTAGACTCTTCGGTCTCCTGATCAGCCGCCGTGCGCTGTACGGGTTCGAGTCCCGTCCCAGGAGAAATGTTTCTCTTGGCCATGGATGTTGTGATTGTCCGTAGGTGGTAGATGGTCTCTGACTGTCGAACGCGGAGGTACCACCCGGCGGTTCTCGTAGGCGGAGCCAGAATGTGTGCATGTTGCATGCACACGTGTTCCCTCGCCAGAGTCCGTGTGGCGTCCCCCCTTTCCCATGTACCCATGTATCCCCCATAGCCCCACGGTACCCAATGGGTGCTTAGGCCTTAGGCCTTCGTGGTAGTTGGAGTAATAAAAAAAAAAAGGTAGTGTCATGGCACCGTGGCACTACTTCACGAGCCGCCACTGAACGCAAGGCAGACAGTATCTAAAACATTAATGTCACGGAATCCTATAAGTACATGCATTCCACATTAACTGAACGATGATGGTGATTTTACAGTACACTAGGTTGTTATAATGCAAATACCACTATTTTATCACTCGTATATATAAGATGTTTTGTCAATCTTTGAAGTAAAGTACTTCATTATTATTGTTACTTACCTTGCGATTACTTATCGCGTGCGATCAAGGATGTACTGGGAAAAATGGTTGTAACATTTCTTCCAAATTTTGCACGTCCTGTTTTCGCAAACGATATAATTTCACAAAATTAAACTCAGAGAATTCGATCGGATCAACAGCATAGAATCTTTGCCTCTCCACATGTTCAATAATCCGGATTCAATTAACCCCAGCAAACTGGTATGCCATTACTAGGTATACTTTGGATATAATTATCTAAATATAAGGACCACAGTAGCCTCAATTACACCCAAAATCACGATGTAAATAAGAATTCTGACAGCAGTGACAGTACTCATCACGAAAGCGATAAGCAAAACGCCGACCACTTGGTAGTCGTTTTGAAAGCGACGAGCGCTTTTCAAAAACGCTGAGCGTTCGGGCAACGGGAATACCATATATTGGCAAGTGCGTCGAAAGCAAGTGCAAATGACGTCATATTCGCTGAGCGACTGGAAAACGCTTAGCGTTTTGGAGAACGAGAATACCGGTCCTCGACTTACGATTATATGAAGTTTTTTGTTGAAACTGTACCCAAAAATCATCACCTTAAATATTGATATTCAGTTAGAACACCCCTTATGTTTTACCGCCTTTTTCAGTGAAATACTCATGGTCCAGGGATTACTTTCCAAACTTCGTGGAGGAAGACGCCCGGGTATTCGTATCACATGATGGTGCATTGTATTTTTCGGCTCTTGAAACTATCGACAGGGCGAATTACAGTTGCAGTGTCAGCTCCGAATTTTCTGATTCTGGAAGGAATGGTCCGTTTTTCCCGCTAAGAGTTAACCCCCACTGTAAGTATGTTACTTTCCACACCAAATGGTGAGGAAGTATTATTTTCGGGAAAAATTTCGGAAATGGGATATGTTTTTTTCATGTTGCATGCCATGTACATCACGAAAACCCATTTCGCTCGAAAAGTAGCTGTCGCATTTTGATGAAGTTTGGACACAAAGTTACTACTATCACAGTAACGAAAGAGCTTTGTAAGTTTTAAAAATCGTTTCTTGACGTTTCAGAGAATCCTGATCATTTTCAGAAAAGGGCGAGACACATTTCTTACAATTAATTTGCTTTGGATGACCTTCTTCAAAACCAAGGAGTATTTTCCTTTTACTTCCCATGTCACTGACGAGGAAGTATTGAAATCGCGGAATATTCGAAAATAAGATGTTACGTTTTATGGATGTTATATGACGATGTAGATACATTGTAAAAACCATGTCACTAACTTCCGTCGGTCTGCCTGTCTGTCTATCTTCTAGTTTGTAACTTGGAAATTATCTTTATGATCTTTGAAAATTGTTCCAGTGACAGTAGAGCTAGGGGCAAACACGAATGAAATAAAACACACCTAAACTTCATTTTTTGACGTTTCAGTGGCTCCTGATATTTACAGAAAAACTTTTTATAGGAGTTAAAAATTGGGAGTGGGGAAGAGCATTTGTGCTTGTGGACTTAATGAAAGTGACAGACGTTTAGTCTATTTAAGGTTTCCTCTGATAAATGATGACATCGAAATATTTGCATCTTCGCCGGGCCTCAGTTGACCCGAGATGCCACAAATTCCACCATATTCCACTATCTCTCCGATTATGTTTCCCTTTTTGTCCATCGATTAATTGTTAACTCTGGCATGTCCATATCCTTTTCGAATTTCCCTTCGGTGAGCGGGTACTTCGAAAGCAATGCCTCTGCAATTTTCATTTGTTCGGTATCCAGAGCCGCTTTCCAGGTGGGCGTTTCATGCACGCAACCGAGCACCTGTGCGCCTATATGCGACAAACACTTGTTCCATGGTGATGTTTAGGTTTGATGCATGGAACACAAATTCGCTCCATCCCATGCTGTTTGAGCACCAGCCTTTTGGTTTGGAGCTTCAAACCCATGAAAAATCAAAGCTGTCAATCTGTTATAAATATGACTACCGGTATAAGTATTCAGGATCTCACTTGACTAATGGGTAACCAACCCCGATAGCGGGAATCACCCCGCGAGAAGATTTTGAGAGCGTCTGTTACGGCTGTCAAGTAGACCGGGCTCCTTGAGCCGTGGCAAAGGCAGCCGGTCTAGGGACGTTGACCCTAACAAGATAGCAGGACCAATGACGACATGGCTACAGAAATGACAACGAGAATCGCTTCAGCGTGGCGGCCCACTGGAAGTGCTCGTACAGGGCTGCGGTGAGCTTGTTATGCCGACGTGAGGTTGCGACGTTGAAGCAGGAACCAGCCCCTTCGGGCGCTGATCAGAAAGGGTGCTATGGGTGCAAGACTCGGGCTAGTGCCAGTCCGTCCGCGCATTCCGGGACTGGTTAAGCGATGGCTGGGCCTCAGGGAACTGGAGTAGGATTGCAAAATGCATCCCAGAGTATACCCGTTCCTAGCTATATCGACCCGCCACTTGCCACACGGAGCGCTGGCCATTAAACAAAACGGCTGTGGCCGAACAAGCGATAGTGAAGGGAGAACGAAAAGGGACAATTCCGTCATTCTTTAGAGCACAACGCTCAGATTCATTTAGCGGGTCCAGAGGAACGAGTTTTGGTAGTCCGGAAATTCATACCACAGAAACCAGAATTAAAGGAAAAGCCCTGGTACTGATTGCTGCAGAGATTGAGAGAAAAAACAAAACCCATTGGTATACGACCTCATGGATCTGGAAATACTCAAGTACAAGTTGGAACGTTTTAATGACATAGGCAATACTAGCCAGAATACAGAGAAAGAAATTAAGGATTTGAACGTGGATCTTCATCGTATCGCCGCTTCCTTAGTTAAGGAATCGCTGAAAATGAGATAAACAAGAAATCCCAAGTTTTGACGCCGATGAGCAGACTGAGCAAGAGGACGATCCAAAACAAACAAAAACGACCGGCATTCAAACGAGTCCCAAATATATTGACAATGCACTGCTGACGCAGTGGTTAAATGCAGGACTAGATGACACACCAAAAAAGCATGAAACATTCATGGAGGAAGCAGATGGTCAGAACCATGCTCAAAGGTGACTAAGATAGTGACGTGAAAAGTTAATGCTTCCTTGAAGGACGCCAGTACGAGGGTACTGGTAAACGACACAAAGGAGGGACGATGAAGTGCTAGCGCATTTGCAGCTAGAGTCATTGAACTACCCGAATCTCTTAAAAATGAGGGAGAACAAATCAAATACGTCGTCAAGACAGACAGCAGCGTTATCTCAGACATAGGATGTGACGACCTCCATGTGCAGAGCAAAAAGATAGCTGTAGCTAATAAGGTTGCTGAAGACAACGAGCAGGGGCAGCTGTATAAAATGACAGAGCGAGCTCTAACAGTAGTTCAAAGGGAGAAGCTTGATGAACTCCTGATCAGCCCGCTTGGATTCAAAAACCTAAGCTATTGCGACAATATTAATAATGGTAATACTGATTATTGAAAAGCACTAATAAATACAAAAATACTTTTACATATAAAATCTGATAAATAGAAAATGAAATTTTGTTAAGAACGAATCAAATCAAGACAACGTTCAAACCCTCAAACAAAAAAATACGAATAAAAACCAAGGAAAATAGACGCTAAGGTGAAAACTAAAACTACATCAGCAAGGGAATTAGCCCTCAGCTGCGACATTGTCAGTAATGACAAACAAGGCGTAAGAACTTTTTGTTACGTTCCAACCGTCATCTCGGGTGTAAAGCCTCCGTGTTTAAGGTCCATGCGCTTCAAACCAAATTGCGTAGTTGGATGGAAAGCAGCTCAGGTAAGGTCTTTCTGTGTGTCTTATCCTCAAGATCATTCATTAACTATTCCTATAACCTCTGCTTAGAGTTCACTGCCAGCTTTTCTAGTTTCTTCCCGACATCTTGATTCTATCGTTTATATTCAAGCACCAGGCTGTTATGTCTTGATCCATTTGCTATATGATACTTTCTGTTTGCTCTTATTATTTTCATTCCGAGAGTAAAGCATTATTTTGTCATTTATAGTATTTTTGTAGTAGTCCACCAATACTTTGCTTTACCCTCTTGACCTTTTTTGTGGCCCACACCGATGATGTCATATGCTACCGTGACTACATTGTAGACATAAAAATTTCTAGAGTGCTAGTTGCAGTCTTTCGGGGAGTCCTTTTAACTCTATTTATTTTCCACCTGCGAATCTTATATATCTCTGGTTTATCCTGTTTGTCAGGTGTTACCTCAAACATAATGTACCGATATTCGCTCATATTTTCGTCATCCAGTACTTTCCAGTCTTTGATTTTACCCATCAAGTTTTCGCATGGAAAGTATGATGTTTGAATTCCTCCAACAAAGGTAGGTTCTACTCCATCGTTCCATCAAGGTTCTTGCGCTAGGATTTCTTCAAGAAGTTCTCATTTTTTTGCCAGTTAGTCGGGATCCTCACGTTGTTGCCCTTGAATTAAAATCTCCCCCTATCAAGTATTGTTTTGTGCTGTAGTCCATAAGACATTCCAGTTCATTTAGTCTTTCCGAATAGGCTTCAGTTGATATGTTTGGCGAACTGTTTTCAGAGCGTAAATGTATTTTTTGTATTCCTATTTAAACCGTCCCCTATTTTTTTTCGCATCCTCTTAATGGATATTTCCGCTGTATGGTAGTGTATCCTAACAGCTGCATCCCCATCTGCATCTGATTTCCATTAACCACCTTATATCGTGGGCTTAAAGCTAAAACTGACCAAGTCTAACATATCAATTCTCGGTAAATACAGTTTTAAACTGACACCAAATTTATATATAATAATTGCCAAAGAAAGTTTTTCCAATTCATGTGGTTTTTTGCTTTATAATTTGATCTTTTAACGTAACCGACAAATGAAATAAAAAACTTAGACATTGCTATTTTGTTATTGAAAAAAGTGACTTGGTTATTTTTTCTGATTTTTGAAATATTTAAATATATACTTGGTCAAACATTGGAATGGCTAATTATTGTTGCCAATTAGGACCAGCTGGTTAAAATCCCATTTTCTAATTAGGTACGCGAATTCTTCTAATCAAACAAATAATTTTATTCCATAATACAAAATAATTTATTAATCATAAAGAAAACATATTTTTTTCAAAAAACAATTATATTATTTAATCACTTAATCCGAGTTAGATTCTGTGTCACTTTCACCTTCTGCAGGTTCTGAGACGGTATTTCTCTTTTTCTTGTCAACTGGTAGAGCTTCGTACCAATAGTGATATTCTGGGGGAATATCGTTTTGAGTACAAAGCTTCAAAAGACTTTTTTCTTCTTCTCGGAAATGCCCAACTGTCCTTTGTATAATTTTGGTATATCTTTCGGAATTGACTTAATCGCCCTCGGCCAAAAATATCGATAAATTTGAATTCTACTTGGCTATAGTTATATTTAAAGAGAATCTGGCCCGGATTTTCTTTCTCGTAACGCATAACTTTTATTTTCATCCACGTCTTTCAATCTGTTTGTCAAGAAAGCACTTGCCAGTGATTTTAAATCTAGAAAATCTGTGAATCTTAGCTCCTTACATTGATATGGCTCACTCTTCTTATTTCTAAGGCGCTTAGAGCAAGCCAATCGGAACACATTAAGTAAATAATTCATAGTAAAAATAGCAACATGTCTTCTAGCAGACTATATGGCGCTGTGCATTGAATCTACCTCCATGTAAGAGTGCCCTTTTTCCAAAAAGTTATGTTGTATGCTTGTACCAAGTATAGAAATAAAGCGGCTATGTACTGATTGCGATTTTGACCGCTGCAGGTATCTGAATACCTACTTATTTCTGTAACGTCTTTGGAAATTGTTTTTACCCATTGAAATAATGCGGTTCCAATTTCAGAACTCCCTCGTTGACCGTTAGTCTCCGTCCACACGTAGCAGTATGCGTTATTTGGTGGCGCTGCTTCATACACAGTCAAGTTTAATGCACATAATTTCATACTGTAATAAAATTGGGATACATCAGAAAAAGGTATATGCAAAACACTTTGCAAATTAAAAGTTATACTACCAAAATGCTTATCGTTTGAGGATCGTAACTTATCGTGCATCTTGGCAGCATTTGCTTCATCGCGTCGACGTATGTGTTATTGGTAGTCCTCTATAGTGATGAGTTTATTTTTATATTGTTCACAAGTGGAACATCCATCCTTTTTAGGCTTAAAAAAAGCTAAATT